AAAATAAGACCTAATATTTATTTTACTAGGAATCTCTATCTCCAACCACTACATGAGAAATCAAGGCAGTGTATATTAAAGCATTAAGATGTACGAAACTAATGCCAGTATATGTGCATATTTCAGGCTGGAAAACAATCACGGGAGTCTATATTTGAGATAAGTAAACATTGCCATTTTGATTGAGTTATTACTATAAATTACTGATACTTTGGATTGCTTATCTAAGGCCAGACACATAGCACGCACCATTTTCTTTGCTCTCTGGTCTGTTGAGAGGTCTACTTAAGCTGTCTACTGTCTACTTTGAATTCTACATATATAATTACACAATATAAGAAGTGAGGAAGGGGGATCAATAGTATCCCCGAAGTGCTTGACATCACCTGGCTATTAGTGCTGCGTGTGAGTCAGCAGGGTTTTATCATTCATCTGGGTCCATGAAGAAGCCAACATCAACAGGGTTTTCTTAAAAGAGATTCCAAGAATTGTGTTTACTAACTGAATCATTTGCTAAATCCTTTATAAAAGAGAAGACTGTCAAGCATTCAAAGTCAGCTCCCATGTCAGATCCCTCTGCCAGTGCAGCTCCCCTATGCATGTCCAAAGCTCAAATTCCTTGTGACAAAGAAATGCTGTAGCTCACTCTAAGGCACCATCCCTGCAGGGGCATACTTGCCTTATGCTGCACCTCTTTTAGCAGTGTCTTCAAGTGGTAAGACTTTAATGTTGAAGATGCCTGGTAAATACGAATGGTTAACACCCAGAGAGCTGTTCAGCAGTTACAGGGGAGTGATGGGCTGCTGCTAGGAGTAGGGCTGTGAATTAGTTATTTCCAAGCAAGCAGAATTGCCAAATAGACACAAAAATGATGCCACACAATAGTCCTGCAATGTGTCACAGTATTAGTCTGTGACATTAATTCTATAACCTGAAGCTAAGGGTTGTCGAAAGGCTTTTAGGAAAGACTAAATATTTATACTGCGTAATGGACAAGAAAAATTTCTCTTCCTGCATAGCTTTATCTTTCACTTTAACAAATGACTACTGACACACATGGATGAAACTAAGGTGTAGCCAAAGAGTGCTTAAGATGTTGGGATATGAGCAGCTTCTTCTCCTTCTACTTTTTAAAATTTTTTTAAAACATTTTTGTGCATGTGCATAGTCCAACAGCTATTCATTAAAAACCACATGCCAGGTACTTAGGAGGTAATGCAGAATATAAGATTCATAATATAGCACTAACTTAAGGGATGATACAGTTTATTAAGGGGGAACATAAAACACAAAAGTCTGTGAATACTATGTTGAACCAAATGATATGATGACTTTATGATTCAAAATGCAGTTAAATATGCACAATTTCATAAGTTAAATATGTGAATTTAACAACTTCAATATAATACACATTGCAGTAAAACAAGAAGCAGAAGGAAATACAATAAATACATGGAAGCGTACGGTGGGGCCATATGGCACTCTATTCTAATTATATCATCAGTTTTAATTTTCACAAGTGCCATGTGAAGTAGCTAATATTAGTATTTCTATTATAGGGATTAAACACAGCAAGACAGAGAGGTCATAAGACTTAGGTAAGATCATGCAGGGGTTAGGCAATGGAACTGGGACTAAAACTAAAGCTGCCTGCGAGTGGCCAAATTGGAACGCCTGGTGCTATAGCATTTTTCCTACAGAGTCAGAAAAGGCACCAGAGATTCCAGGGTGGAAGTATGTAGCATCTTGGCAGAACTGGATAAAGTATTTATTTGCCTAATGCTTGTTTTCTTAAAATCTTAGACTAATTTATGCTTAAGATGCTAGTCAATGAAATTTTAATACTTTGTTCTAGATGGATATTCACTTTACGTTAAGGTAGAAATGTCACTCACTTATTACAAATTCTTGTTTTTATTTTAATACATGAAAAATTCAGAAAATTAATGATCTTCTTAAAATGAGAGGAAGAAAATCCTAAAAGATATGTGAAATCATCTGAATATTTGATGAAAAGTATTATATATTTGGCCCAAATATTTATCTAATCTCTGAAAAGGGATTTTATTTTATGGGTGTTTGAGTCTGAGAATTTTTTAAAAAGTACACATAGGAAAGGAATAAATTATTATAAAGTATTCTCATCTATTTCACACTTAACATGAGATTTTCATGCATTTTACTCTTTCTGGATGGAGACCTCAGTGTTAGGTGCACAGCAGAGAGTTGGATCGAAGATATAGTGATGACGCTCCCAGTGACCTAGTGAGGTGATTTGAGGATCTGTGTCAGTCATCTGGGTGAGATGCTCCTGAAGATAAAAGGGACTTATTTTCAGACACACGCCCTGCAGCAGGCACACTCTGACACAGATCCATCCCACAGCAGGCTTAATTCATTCAGTCATCCCTGGGACAGAGGGTAGCTAAGAAAAATCTGGAAGGGTAAGACCTTTCCTTGTGCCAGGAGGTCATGCCCATGTGAGCACTATATGTAAATTATATGATGCGAGTGACAAATAGCTAGTCATGTTTTCACAAAGACAGAAAATCACAACTTGCCAAATGACTGATAAGAAGCTATTCCCAACACACCTGCCTTATCTAGATGTTGTTTTTCAACAAAACAGGAGGGTTAAACTCCTCAGTCTCTGAACTGATAAATAAAATAACTTGGAGAAAGTGTGATACTCCTTTCCCTCACAAATAAGATCAAGTCCCAAAACAAATATCTCTTCTAAAATCATAATAGCACTTACTTTTCAGGTAGGTCTTATTTTAGGGGAAACGCAGCACCACTTGAGAGAAAAGCAGAGGGGGATGTCTTATGTGGAGACTGGCTCCTGTGTAACTTGCGTACTATTAATAAAACATTCTTAAATGGTTCCTCCTTATTTCTTTTTTCTTTTTAAAATAATTTTATTGAGAAACAAATAGCAATGAGACAGGTTCAAAACCAATTATTAGGGCAGTTTCAATGATTAATATATTGCATATTGTTGTCTTCATAGTGGTTATTCATAGAACAAGGTGCAGACATGATATCCTGTCCAAACACTGTTAGTACAAATCTTTCTTCTCATTGAAATAAGAGAAAGTAGTTGCATATCTATCCTATTTTGTATATACAGATACAAGATGGTCATTCATTTGTATCTCCTTTTTTTGTTTAGTTTTGTCAGAGATGGGTATACCATTGTCATTTAAATACTGTAGGTGTGTGAATTCAGCAAAATATTCCAATATGGTCCAGCAGTTTATAATAGTAGTGGGTTATCTGCAGGACTGACAATGCTAGAAGTTGTTGACTTGAACCTTTTACAGCTCAGCATATTAATATGGCTTTACCATCCAACAGAAAAGTATAAAAACAAGGTATTTTTCATACCTTGTTTTTATACTTTTCTGTTGGATGGTTAAGACCAAGACAAAGCAAGACCTATATAACAAGAAATGTAACTTTTGTATCTGATAAGATCAGTCAAGTCCCCTCAGGTTTTATCCTGAAACCCTGTACCGCAGTTTGCAGATCCTTTGTCGGTGTCAACCATGTGGATGAGTCACGGCCATTGTTTAACCAATTTTCTCTCTGTGAGAGCCTGAGAGAATGTTTTCTCTCCATGTGACTATCCTTAGGCACACTCTGTATCATCTATCACTTTCCTCTGTGGCCCCATAACCTTGATCAGAAAATTTGGGACACAACTGTGTTACAGGATGTTACAGTACAGGTTCTGCTTTGTCCTGAGTCCTCCCTCCTCATTTCTTTACAGAAAGAAAAAGGTCATTTTACCTATTGAATGAGATTTTGGAATATACTAGCTAGCAGAGTGCAAATAATCGAACAATTACCCTTTTTTCTTAAACTTTCCTTCATGTAACTCAGGAGCAGATTAACATGTCAAATTCTTCTAAATTGGGAGTATTGTACAGGGTTTGTGGTCTAGCACAAATAAGTGGATGAAATTTGTTAAAAATAGCATCAACCCTCAATTTGGGTCACCTCCAAGGAAATGATATTTAAATCGCACATTAGAAATTTACTCTGCAATTTAGTCCTAAAATCCAAATTATGGTTTTATGACCCTAGAATTACCAACAAAACAGTAATAGCTTAACTTCAATTAGGTACACTGTCTTTCCTTTCCTATCTGCATAATAAGAACTCTAACATATACTTCAACTGGTGAAAGTATCTATCCTTAAAATTTAAATAAATAAGTACCTTCTATAAGATTAGTGATATTTAAGTGATGTAAGGGATTTAGAAAGAGCACTAACCATTGGCTTTGACTTCAAGAAGAATGCAATGAGTTCACTCACGCAGCCCACACAAGCTCAGGACTTCAGTCCATAAAACCAACATGTGCACAAAAGTGGGAGGCCACAGACAAAATTCCATGGAGGCACAAATGCAAAAACTTGTTTGGGGAAGTTTCCCCAAGATCAATATCTGAGTTAAGTCTATATAAGAGTTGGATGTTGTTGAAGGACAAGGAGGGAGGTGTCATGTCCTTCCAAAGAGAAGAGACAGCTATGGACAAGGTGAATTTTAAAACATACAATGATTTGGAAGGATGTTTACCTTTCTGACAATGTAGCAATTAGATAATTATCTCATAATTGCAATAGTAATGCATTTATTTATTTATTTATTTAGTGGAACCAGGGATTGAATTCAGGCCCTTGTCCTTGCCCAGGGTTAGCGCTTATTCTACTGAGCTATTTCCCCAGCCCCAATAGTAATGATTTTAAATGGCTTCAAAAAGGGGCAATTTTTAAAATTCAATAATTGTAGATCCAGAATGATAGATCATTTCTCCTTTTTTTCTCCATTAATTTGGCCTTACATCATCTCCAACTATAAGCAAAATAGATAAGAAATTACCTTGCGGATAAATTAAAAACATTTTTTGAAAAAACTATTTTTAAAGGAAACAGAACACTGTATTAGAGCACGGAAAATGACACTGAAGACCACAACATGACTAAAATTCTTACTTGTTTCCAGGCTTGAATTAAAGCTTGAGTTAAGTTCTTGCAGACCTGGATATGCTCTGTCAAGGGTAGCTGCTGTGGCTGGAACAGGAAGAAGAAGAGGATCAATCATTTCTGCAAAATAAACGACCTGAGTGACCTTGTTATAGCATCACTTACGAGTGACAAAACTTGAGCTGCTTCTGATCTGAGCCCTCACAGTACCTCTTTTTTAAAAATTACAATTGCACCTATCCATTAAAAAGAACTCATAAAGATGTGAGAAGGTGGGAACATTTTGGTCTTCGTTACTTCTGGACTCATGCATTGACACAGTAGGTAACAGTGAAAACAACCACCTTCCTTTATCTTTCAATTCAACTGAATGTTATCAGAATGAGAAGAAACATCATTTTTTTAAGGCTTTGTTTTTTAAATGAAAGGTCAATAATTTTTTTTTTCAGAAATAATAGAAATAAACCTGTGAGCAATCCTGGGACTGGGGAAGGAATGAAGGAAAAACAAAAGTTGGGCAAGAGAGACATAGAACTTCATGATGGAAGATGAGGCAAGAAGTTACCTATGACAAAACCAACGGACTAGCACTCTTTGCAGTTTGCATTAAAGACAAGCAAAAGGGGAAACAACCAATGTAGCGGCCATTCCACCTGAGTGGCTTTGTAAGTATCTTAGCCATAAAACTTTGTGCCTGTTGTTCGGGCTTGGTGGAGAATGTTGGTTGTCCAGAATCCCAGGTCAGATCATGTTTCCTCTGGGTTATACTCAGAGGGGCAACTGTGGTCTGGACCCCAACAAACACTGAGGTTTTCCTCAAGGCCAAAGAAACTACTACTTGTGATATAGTAGTACATTGTGGAATACATATTTGATCTTCTTCCTATTTGTGGCCATATAAGTGCCTGAATCCTTGGAAATTCTGCAATGATAAGTGTTATTTTATATGCCACTTGTAAGTTGTTCAGTGGCTCAGGGCTTCCACTCACAGGGTGTGTGTGGGGGGTGGTACAGGAGAAAAGCAATGTTGATGACACATCCAAGCCAACCCTAAGCAAGTAAGGGACTTAGGAAGGTCTGTCTTAAAAAAAAAATTAATAATGAAACAAAGAGAGAAAGGAAGGAAGAAAGGAAGGAAGGAAAGAAGGAAGGAAGGAAGGAAAAAAGAGGAAGAGAGGTGTGGGAAGCCATTAACTGGTATCCATTTTATAATAGTGTCGGCCATTTTCTTAAGTTTCTATTCCCCTGCTGAGTTAAGTTTCTGGTCCTTCCCACCTTGCCCATTCCCAGTGAATCACATGCTATGCCTCAGGGGTGGGACCTTCCTCCATTGCCTAGATACCTGTTGACATCAAGAGCTGAGACTTCCACATTCCTACACTTCCTATATATACCCAGCACCTCCCCTGAATCAACGAGACTTGATTAGAATCCTGTCTTGTCTCCATTTCTCGCATCTCCTGTCCTTTGTCCCCTCCTCCATTCCCCGCTCCTCTCCCAGGTGACCTTCGTTGATTGACCCGCTGGACGGGACAGAGAGGAACTGAAAACAAATTTTCACAAAAGCAATATATTTTCCTAGAGTAAATAGTGTATTATATGTAAGTTTTAATGTGATTATAAAGCAAAGTTGAACTTGTAAAAAGCCTTCCAATCTCCTTATTGTCTGGGTACTCTAAGTCTTTATTATTACCATTAATAGATTGAATAATCCCTATCACCATTGCTAATTCCTTGCTGCAACTCAAAGAATATTTTTTTTCATTATCCTCAGCTCCAAGCAGAACACTGGAATATTATTTTCAGTAAGTTTATGTAGCTTCTAACTGCAAAATGACTTGTACCACTGACAAGTATGCTCTGAGAAAGTTCTGATAACTCAAGGAAAAGAAATTTATGTTCATAGAAATAATAATAGAAAGTGGAAGGACACTTCTGGAAGTGATGGCCAGGCATACAGTATAGACTAAGGTGATGATTTCATAGATGTATAGTTATTTTCAAATGAATGATTTGTATTTATTAAGGATTGGAGCTTAAATGACTTGATGTCACTTAAAAATAAGTTAAGCATAATAACACAAATATAGTCAAAATTATGCCTTAAATTTGTTTAAATTTTGGCCTGAATTTGAGAAAACTTGACACACATCAGCATCCAGGCCTCAGATCTGCAGTAAAGTAGGTAAATATCTCCAGAACAATGACTCAGATGGAATGTGAGGGTCAGTTCTGAGACCCTAAAGGTCAATGCCTAGCCAATTATCAAGGTTGCCAAATCTTGGGAAACCTTAGACTCCCTGACTCTTCACTGATGAGGATTTTTTTTTCCTTGCAAACAGATAGCTGGTGCTTTCTCCCTTATGGCACACTTGGTGACAGCTTCATGGAGGAAAAGCCTCACTCAGCCAGCACTCTGTACAATGCGTGATAAATCAAGCTACAAAAGGAACAGATGGCTTCCTTGTGGAAAGTCCGCAGCTTTTAAGCCAGTACTGAGAAGATGCTGGTCACATCTTCAAGTGAAGCGCATTGAACTAAACTGTGCTGTCTTAGCAAATGGAAGAGACACATTCAGTCATCAATTTTAATTATTGTCAAAGCCATGTACCTAATGCATACAGTGTTGATCAGGAAAAGCAAAGAAATGGGGGACACAAGCAGAGAATCACAACTCCAATGCTAACGAAAATTAATGAGGCCATCACAGACTGTGGTCTCAGTGATGATCTTCAGGGATCTCATTCATTATTTATTTCTAACAGATCAGTAAAATAGTGCTCTAGGGGCTTGTGCATTCTGGGATCATAAAATAAACTAAAATAACCTGCAGCCTTTAGGGCTCTAGAGTTTTAGGCAGAGATCTATAGAAGTGATTGAGCACTCAGTGTTCAGTTGAATGTGCTTGAGAAATCTGGACAAGCTTTCTGGGAAAGGTGACTTCTTTAGACTTCTTGATTAGCCTTAGAATAAGGGTAGACAAATCATGAGGAAGAGAGAAGGCAGTTGGGGCTCAGGTACTCACTACATAAAGGCACTGAGGGTGTATAAAGAGCCACGATCCAGTGGTAGTAGGTGGAACACCCGGGTCAAGATGTGTTAAGTTGTAGAGTCCAAGATGCACTGGGGAAGTTTTTGCAAAATAGTTTAATTTTGATCCTGAAAAATTACTCTTTTTTTAAATAAATTTTATTGAGAAACAAATAGCAATGAGACAGTTTCAAAACCAATTAGTAGCACAGTTTCAATAATTAATACATTGCATATTGTTGTCTTTGTAGTGGTTATTCATAGTACAAGATGCAGAGATGATGTCCTATGCAAACACTATTAGTACAAATCTTTCTTCTCATTGAATTAAGAGAAAGTAGCTATATACCTACCCTATTTTGAATATACAGATACAAAATATCTGTATATTCATTTGTATCTCCTTTTTATGTTTACTTTTGTCAGAGATGATATTCCATTGCCATTTAAATATTGTAGATGTGAATTCAGCAAAATAATCCAATATAGTCCAGTAGTCCATAATAGTAGTGGGTTATCCATAAGACTGGCAATGTCCAGTTGCTGCAGTACTATCTGTCAGGTAGATGATTGTTCAAAAAGAAGGAGGTGGTGAATGAAGGCAGGAGACAAGAAAAGGTATGTTGTGGGACTGTCATGCTTCAAGGTTGTATATGGTTAGATTTCTGGACTTATGTGTAAACATAAAAATTATATAATTCTTTATGCCTATTTTAAAAATATATTCTAATTTTTTAAAATGTTTTTTTCATAATATTCTGTAGGGACTTAAAGTTCAACATATCAATACTTGATAAAAAATACCTGTTCCATGTTATGCCTAAGATGTTTGATATGCAGACAGATAGTGAGGTTAAGCTTAACAGCCTAAGTTGTACGATAATAACAACAAGCTTGTCTTCTGGATGGTTAACAACCTAAGTTTGCAGACCAAAATTAGAGAAAAAGGAGGGCTGAAAGGAAACCCAACATTTTGGCCCTAGCCTTCTAAGGTCAATTAAGACTCAGGACATATGAGAACTTGTACTGTAATGTCATGTAACTCGGTAGTGTCCCAAATTTTCTGATCAAGGAGATTATGGGGCCAAAGAGGAAAGTGATTGATGATGTAGAGTGTGCCTAAGGAGAGTCACATGGAGAGAAAACATTCTCTCAGGCTTTCACAGAGAGCACATTGGCCAAGCGATGGCCATGACTCATCCACATGGCTGACACTGACAAAGGATCTACAATCTGAGGTACAAGATCTCAAGCTAAATCCTGAGGGGATTTGACTGAAGTTATCAGATCCAACAGCTACAACTTTTGTTGTATAGGTCTTGCTTTATCTTGGTCTTAACCAACCAGCAGAAAAGTATAAAAATGAAGTATAAGAAGGAAAGCCATGGTGTTATATTGAGCTGTACGGGACTCTTGTCAACAATTTCTGACACTGCCAGTCAAGCGGAAGACCTAATACTATTATGGACTACTGGACTCTTTTAGAATATTTTTGCTGAGTTAACACACCTATAATATTCAAATAATGGATTAAACAAAAAAGGGAATACAGATGAATGTCCATTTTGTATCTGTGCATTCAAAATGCTTAGGATAGATATATAGTTACATTCTCTTAATGAATAGAGGGATTTGTTGTAATAGTGTTTGCAAATAGGATATCATGTCTGCGTCTTGTACAGCAAATAACCACTGGGAAGAGAGTATGTAATGTGTTAATTATTGGAACTGTCCTACCAATTTGGTTTGAAACTGTCTCATTGCTATTTGTTTCTCAATAAAATTATGGAATAAAATAAAATAAATCAGGCACACATGTTTAAATATCATATTACTTATCTTATGTGAGAAACCCAAATGGTAAATTGGGAAGTAGGAGGAACATATTCATATAGGAAGTGAAACAAGTGGGGAGAGGGAATAGAAGATAGGGAAAGATATTTTAAAAATGGAAGGGAAAAATAGAAACAATTTTTTTAACATGGGGAGGAAAATAAAAGCTGAAGAGATGAGAGAGGAATGGGGAAAAAAGAATTTAAATACATATGGGTACAAAT